TCCCAAATCGTCTCCATCAACCTGCACTGCATGTTCTCGGTGCTGTGGCAGTTGAGCAGGAGGGATCCGGAGCTCTGCGTGCAGGTAAGCCCAAGCCGAGCCTAAGCTAACCCTAAGCCTAAACCTAAGCCCAAGCTAAGTCTAAGCTAAGCCTAAGCCTAAGCCAAGCCTAGCTTAAATTCAAAATTTTCAGGCGATGACCTCCTTGCTGTCGATGCTGCAATGCCTGCCCCCAGAATCGCTCGTCAACGAGCCAAAATCGGCCATTCGGGACATGCACGAGACGTTGAAGCGGTTGCGGATTGATGGTAGGCTAGAAAAAATCACTCTCTCTCTCTCTCTCTCACTCTCTCTCTCTCTCTCGCTCGCTCCTTCCTAATAATGCCCAGTTCAGGCTCCTCCTGCGTTTCCGGTCTTGCCTCAGCCTGCCTCACCGCTCTCGCCACAGCCTCCGCTTCACCCGAATTCCTCTTCTCAACGGCGGCCACGTTTTTGTGCGATAACATCACTGGGAATCTGGTGGGTTGGGCAGGCTAGCAAAGATTTTACGGATTTCCCCATGCTGGCGCACTAATGGTACCTTTTAGAGCACCTCCAACGACGTGGACCACGTCCAAATCCCCGAAAATCATCACCGCCTCGCCCTCTACGTGCAGAACCGGGTCTTCCACGGTACCGAACCAGGGTAAGGCAGCTTGAAGACGTCGTGGCAGGCTAGCAGAGACTCTTCATGGCATATTAAAGACATGAGATTCAGGTTGGATTGGTGTCTCCTGCCCCTTTCGGACTTCTTGTGCATCTCCGGCTTCGATATGTCGACGCTGCCGATCGACTGCTCGCCGTCAACCCCGGATGAGGATCGGAGGCTTTATTCGGCGATTGCCAGTGATGGTGGGTGGCTAGCAGGGATTCTTGAGGAAGAGGAGAGGGCAGGCTAGCAGAGATTCTTGAGGAAACTCGATTTTTTCAGGCGCTCACGTCTATGTCCTCACGTACCTCGGCCTCTTCAAGATGGGCACCGGGCTGGCGGAGACGGTCGTCGGCAAACTTTACACCTCGAATACGATGATGAGAGCGAGGTAGAGAGCTAGAGAGAGAGAGAGCGAGAGAGAGAGAGATCTCTGTTTTTAGTCGTCACTGCGTGCTCACCTTCTGCCACTCGTCGCTGTACTTAAGACGGGGCCAGTCCAGCCGTGTCTGGGTCATCGACGCCTACACGTTACGGTCAGTGATCACTGCTGGCCTGCCCTCTCCTCTTCCTCAACAATCTCTGCTAGCCTGCCCTCTCCTCTTCCTCAACAATCTCTGCTAGCCTGCCCTCTCCTCTTCCTCAACAACCTCTGCTAGCCTGCCTCTTTCAGAGAAATCGGCGAGATCATCCTCCCCCCAGCCACCACCCAGTCAGCGATCTTCAGCGACGGGGACGACTTCTACCAGGCCACCGTGGACCAGCACTCATCTTTGGTGGTAGGGTCCTCATCCAAATCGCCTTGCCAGTCCTTTTCAAACCACAATACTCATCACTTCTAGGTGACTGTCCTGAACGACAGCTTTGTCGCCTCCCAGGAGTCGAAGCTCAAGCAGAAATATCGATTGACCGAGGTATGGACCGTAATATTGGTTGACGATGATTTTTTGCGAATTTACCCTAAAATATTTTAAAGTTGATTTTCAGGTGTCCTACAGCTCGTTTGGTGAGATTCAGCCGATTCCGCACACGCTGCCGAATACGCTACCTTCAACGTTACAGAGTAGGTTTGATCAGCCTACTCCTGAGCCTAAGTCTCAGCCTAAGTCTAAGTTAAGCTAAGCTTAAGCATAAGCCCAAGCCTAAGCCCAAGCCCGAGCCTAAGCCTGAGCCTATGCCTAAGCCTAAGCCGAAACCCGAGCTAAACCCAAGCCGGAGCCTAAGCCCATCCTTTTTACAGGCCAAGCCGTCGACCTGCACATGGGCGGGGAGTGCGCCTTCTTGCTGGCCCGCAGCGGCAAGGTGTTCTACAGTGGAAATGGGGCCCGGCTCGGGTTGCAGGTAACCCGAAAAGGACTTGATCGACCCTATCTCCCAATCTGTAACGCTGCCTCTAAAACTACGGTATTTCTAGGAAACCGGAACCACGTGGATGGAGCTGGTGTTGCCGGAGCCGATCGTACAGCTTTGTGTAGCAACTGAGGTGAGAGAGCTGGAGTGAGAGAGAGAGGGGGAGAGATAGACTGAGCGGGAGAGAGAGCGAGAGAGATAGCGAGAGCGAGAGAGAGAAAGTGAGATAGAGCGAGAGAGACAGAGACAGAGAGCATTTTTAGATGGTGCTCTTCCGCTCTGGCAGCGGCCACATCTGGATGGCGGGCGGCGAGCATGGCCGGAATCGGCAGGGGAAGCTGCGTAGGATCCAGACGGCTAATCGGTAATGCTTAATTTTGAACAAGAGAGCGTAAGATAGCGAGAGAAATACAGCGAGTGAGAGAGACAGCGAGGGAGCGAGATAGAAAGAGATAGACAGGGAGAAAGAGAGAGAGGGAGAGGGCGAGAGAGAGAGAGAGCGAAAGAGAGACAGAACGAGAGAGAGATAGAGAGAGAGAGAGAGAGAGAGAGAGAGAGAGAGAGAGAGAGAGAGAGAGAGAGAGAGAGAGAGAAACAACGATAATCTTTAGACGAAAAGCCATATGTATCGCAGCAACGGGAGCCACGTACGCGTACGTGACGGAAAACGGGAGGGCCTATCTGCAGGGTCGGCATGGTCTGAAGACACACCCGGAAACCGGGCTAAGTAAGTTTTAACATCTTTCTCTCTCTCTCTCTCTCTCGCTTTCTCTAGCCCAAAATTTAGTTTGCGGCCTCGAAGGAGTCCATCTCGTCTCCATAGCGCTTGGCAAGACGCACGCCGTCGGGGTGACGAAGCACGGCTATCTCCTCACGATGGGCCTCAACAATTTGCATCAATGCGGAAGAGTAGAGGTATGCCTAGTCTCTCTCTCTTTCTCTCGCTTTCTCTCCCTCTCTCTCTAACACCATCTTTCAGACGACATCTACAAATTGTTCGCCCTATTCCACGCCCAGGCAGGCGGCCATAGAGCAAGCGCGGAAGAAGGGAGATCCGGGACCAGGTAATTCCTCAACAATCTCCGCTAGCCTGCCCTTCCAGATCCTGGCCCTTCATCTGACCCCGCACCTAGCTATTGTGCCCCGAACCAGCACCTCTTTGTCAAGGACGTCGCCAGTGTCTGCGTGTAAGTTTGGCGAGTAAGCCGGAGCCTAAGTCAAGCCTAAGCCTAAGCCCAAGCCTAAGCCTAAGCCTAACTGAAGTCTAAGCCTAAGCCGTGCCTAAGCCAAGTCTAAGCCTAAGCCTAAACCTAAGCCAAGCCTAAGCCCATCCACTTTCAGTCAATGCGGCCAATGCTCAGCCAGAGGCCCTCATTGCCCAAGGGCCCAGACGGCTCGCCCGAGCGATCTCTGCCCCTGCGGCCCCGGAGAGACAGCGTGCTTACGGTAATTTTTGCAATATTTCTCGGTTACATTAATCCTACCGTACCTTTTAAAAAGAGCGCTTTCTACAATCAAACAAAAAAATTCCAGTTGCGGCCTGTGTCGACTGTGCGGAGAAGCGGAAGCTGGACCCGTGGATGAGGCCCTGGCGGCGGAGGGCGACGCGGAGCTGCTCGGGACGCCGCAAAAGACCCTGCTGGCCCCGGCGAGGATCCAGCTATCGAAGGGGGCCGTAGAGACCAAGGTGGGTCCTATTTTCTACGAATAAAGGATCATTGAAGCCTGGAAAATTCCTCAAGAATCTCTGCTAGCTTGCCAACTAAATAAGCTTTCTTAAAGGCCCATTGAACCCTTGAAAATCCCTCAAGAGGCTCTGCTAGATTGCCACCTGATTACGCCTTCCTAAAAATCGGTTGACGTCTGGCAATAACGCTCCAGTACCCAAACACCACAATTTCAGGTAGCCATGGTGGCCTGCGGAAATTTTCACACAATCGTCCTGGGCGCTGATCGATCAGTCTACACCTTTGGATCGAACTGCCACGGCCAGCTGGGGGTCGGTGACACGAAGAAGCACGTCTCCCCTCAGAAGGTGGGCAGGCTAGCAGAGAACCTTGAGGATTCTGACTTCTTGATCCCTTTAAACGGCCCAATGTTCAGCTCGATCTGCCGGCCGGAGTCCAAATCGTGCAGATCGCCGCCGGGGCCAACCACTGCGCGCTGCGGACCAGTGAGGGCCAAGTTTGGACGTTTGGCGCCCATCGACACGGACAGTTGGCAAGGTAACTAGCAGAGATTGTCGAGGAAGAGGAGAGGGCAGGCTAGCAGAGATTGTTGAGGAAGAGGAGAGGGCAGGCTAGCAGAGATTGTTGAGTAGGAGGAGGAGAGGATTAGCAGCTCTCATTTCGGAACCATGGTTTCACCGATTAAATTCCAGAGATCCTGAAGACGCTCATTGGCACTGCCGACCGATAGCCGTCCCCGGATTTGGCGCCCAATTTGGGGTATTCTTTTCTATTGCTAATTTTTTTTACCTTAGAAAAAACTTTTCAAAATGATATAGTAAAATTCCGTTAAGCTGTTCGCCACGTGGGTCGGCTGCGTGGGAGACGTCACGCTAATTCACTCGGCTAGGTCGCTCTTTACGCAAGAAAACATTCAGGATGCGCAGATTGTGGCCAATAAGGTGAGAATTTTGGGATTCCTCAACAATCTCTGCTAGCCTGCCCTTGACAATGTTTTTTTTTAAGAATTGCCTCTTTGTGTTTCCGCGCGAGGCCGGGAAGGACTACGTGGTGGTACGTCGGAAACAGCACACGTTTACGCATCATCAGCTGGGGCCGACAGGGCTGTATACGTCGTGAGTTTGGAGAGAGAGAGAGAGAGCGAGAGAGAGAGAGAGTGAGAGAGTGAGAGAGCGAGAAAGAGAGCGAGCGAAAACGAGGGAGAGAGACCAAAAAATTCTCTTCCAGCTGGTGCATCGACCACGACCACAACGTCATCTGGTCGTACTCGGCAGCCGAGATGCGCGTCCAGGGTCGGTTTCTAATTTTAAAATTAGCATTAAAAACCATAATTGTTTTTTATAGTTCGTAACTAGTTAAATTTCAGCTTCAGCTTTTTCAAAAATTTTTAGACCTTATTTTAAGGCGTGACCGAGGCGCGCGGGCTGACGGCAAGCCAATCCTACGGCAAGGAGCAGAATCCGTTGAACCTGCTGCGAAGCCCGGAGTTCTTCATCCCCGCCGAGTTCGAGGCCCGCCTCAGTACAAATCAGGTAATTTGCATTCATTCTACCTCTCTCTCTCTCTCCCTCTCTCTCACTCTAGCTCTCTCGCTTCTCTTTCTCTCGCTCTCTCTATCTCGCTCTCTCTCAATCTCTCGCGCTCTCTTCTCCCTATCTCTCACTCTCTTTCTCTCCCTCTCTCTCTATCTCGCTCTCTCTCGCTCTCTCTATCTCTGCCTCTCTCTCACCCTCTCTCTCCCACTCTCTCTCTCTCTCACTTGCTCAATTTTAAGATGGCCCTCAACCTCCTCTCTACCACCTACGGTCTCAGCATGCTCAGTGCGGAGCCGTCCGCCCAGAAGGTTTGCTGTCACGCTCCCTTTAAAGCCCACTCTCGTGCTCAGGATGCCTCGAACTTGTCGCGTCTTGGCTCGTCTGGTCAGCTTCATGAGGGCTACTCGGTGGTCAATCGTTTCGAGGCCAATGGCGGAGGATGGGGATATAGGTGCGCTCTTGCTCACTATCTTACTATCTCTCTCGCTCTCTCTCTCTCGCTCTCTCTTTCATTATCTCTCTCTTTCCAGCGCTCACTCCGTCGAAGCGATCCAGTTCCAAGTGAATCGCCCCATCCGGCTGATCGGCGTCGGGTTGTACGGTGGCCGCGGCGAGTACATTGCAAAGTGGGTTGAGCTTTAGCTACTCGGTTAGCAAAGCGCCCGCGGGCGCGCCCGAAAACCCAAAGCGCCCGCGAGCGCGCCCGAACTGGACCCTTTTGCGCCCCGGGCGAAATTTTTGCAAAAGGGCGCAAAACCGCTCGGGGCGCAAAAAGCGCCCATGGGCGCAACTAGGGGCGCGCCCACGGGCGCATTTGAATGGTGAACACCTTTCAATTCTGCAAAAAAAAACGGCTAACTTCCTGGCTTATGCACTTATTTATGTTCAAAATATATATAAATTAGCACAAACGTTACTAGATTTGCTTGGTTATGGTCGTCGAATGTAGAATACAATACTTTGAAGAGCCATGGCGCAGGTAACGACGGTAAAGTTTTGCTACGCAACCAGTCCCTGCGAAACTTTAAAAATACTTTAGATTCAGATTTATAGATTTCGAATTATATAAGCCAACCTTTCAGACGATCATGGACATTATTGCAAATGCGAAGCGCGACGTTTCCGGTATCTTTGGGCGGAGTTGCAAAGTAAGTCGGCAAGTAGCAAGTCAAGGCAAGTTTTCAGGAAGCGGGAACAAAGTAAGTGCGAATTACGAAGTTTATGAAGGAAATTATGTAATTAGCTACACTTTTAGGGGCCGTCTATCGCGCATTCGAACGTATCTGTAAGTTCCAAACGAAGCTAAAGCCAAAAAAGCAAAAAAAAAACATATTTCAGGCGCGCAGTACGACTATTTTCTCAGGGAACGTGAAGATCTACATTAAGTATAGGGTACAGCATCGTCAAAAGCGATGTAGTGCCCTTTTTTAAATAATAAAAGCATTAAAAGAAGCCGTCCTACGCCGTTACAACGCGATTGGGGCGCGCCCGCGGGCGCTTTCGAGTTTCGGGCGCGCCCGCGGGCGCTTGGCCATTGCGCCCGAGGGCGCGCCCGTGAGACGCGCCCGCGGGCGCAATTCGGGCGCGCCCGCGGGCGCTTTACTAACCGAGTAGCATCAATATTACGCCTTTTATTAGCATAATCATCAAATGGGAATTTAGGATCCGCATCCACCGGCTGATCGGCGGCGATATGGACGAGTTGATGGTGGAGGAGGTGACCGAGACGGACGAGACGCTGTTTGAGGTCAAAACCTTAGCCTAAATTGAGCTAAGCCTAGCCCAAGCCTATGCCTAAGTTAAGCCTAGCCTGAGCCTAAGCCCAAGCCCAAGCCTAACCAAAGCCTAAGTTAAGCCTAAGCCTAACCTACCTAGGCCCACGCCTAAGCCAAAGCCCAAGCTTAAGCCTAAGCCTAGCCAACTCCTTTTAGTGCGGAGCGAGGCAGACAGCCGCTTTGATGCTCACTCGACCGGTCAGCATCCAGGCCGGCCAGTGGTACGCCGTGTCGGCAAAGATCAGGTAGGGATAGAGAGCGAGAAAGAGAGAGAAAGAGAGAGAGAGAGAGAGAGAGAGAGAGAGTGAGAGGGAGAGAGAGAGAGCGGGGAGTGAGAGTTAGAGTGAGCTAGCAGAGATAGTTGTGAAGCTAGCGGGGGCAAGCTAGCAGAGATCATTCAAATTTCCAGCGGTCCGTCATCTGATTGCGGAGCTAACGGCCGAGCGGTCGTCGAAAGCGAGGACGTCTCCTTCCACTTCCGGAACTCCATCCTCTCCAATAACGGGACCGACGTGACTGTTGGCCAAGTGCCTGAGCTCTTCTACCAGGTACTGTAGAAGGGGCAACTTTTAGTTTTTGAAGGTCGAAAAATCTAACGCTGAGGTGTACGAGGATCTCTCGAAAGATCTGGACGGCCGGGGATTTTCTGACTTTTCCGCGCTGCTCCGCTCGAAGACGCTGCTCACCCCGACGCCAGAGGTGTTCAACTCTTTGCTGCGGATCTTTGACTGGGCCGTGACAAGGTAGGTGGTTGATGAGACATAGCCATTTTCCCAGAGCTTTCGAGCAACACCTCGACCTCCCCTACGAAGACCAGCGATGGCTGAGCGAACGTGCCGTTTCGATCGGCATCTTGGCGCTGAAGATGATCAAGTTGGCGGCACATTTCCGGTCTAAAAATTGTTTCTTTTTGTTAGATTTTACCTGAAAATGCTCTATCCCTCGAATGGGGCTGCCGAGGAGCCGGGGATGGAGTTTGCGGAGAGCGTCCTGAAAATATCTCTCGTCTTCAACACGTTGTTCGAGTTGGCCTCAAATCAAATTAAGGAGCCGGTGAGGAGTCTTAAAGAATCTCCGCTAGCCTACCCTCTCCTCTTCCTCAACAATCTCTGCTAGCCTGCCCTCGCCTCTTCCTCAACAATCTCTGCTAGCCTGCCCTCTCCTCTTCCTCAACAATCTCTGCTAGCCTGCCCTCTCCTCTTCCTCAACAATCTCTGCTAGCCTGCCCTCTCCTCTTCCTCAACAATCTCTGCTAGCCTGCCCTCTCCTCTTCCTCAACAATCTCTGCTAGCCTGCCCTCTCCTCTTCCTCAACAATCTCTGCTAGCCTGCCCTCTCCTCTTCCTCAACAATCTCTGCTAGCCTGCCCTCTCCTCTTCCTCAACAATCTCTGCTAGCCTGCCCTCTCCACTGCCTCAACAATCTCTGCTAGCCTGCCCTCTCCTCTTCCTCAACAATCACTGCTAGCCTGCCCTCTCCTTCCATGCTCCCTTTAACCTGCTTTTTCAGGACCCGTGCCTGATCTGCCTTCTCGACGAGTCGGTTGAGGTGTTCGTCGGCATAGCCCTGACCCTGCTCCCCTACAGGCCGATGCTCCTCGCCCGGCTCTCTGCTTCTCTGGCCTCTCCCACCCGCGACTGGTCCCTCGCCGCCACACTGCTCAGCGTCAGCAAGTTCGGACCGGTCAGTGAGAAGAGGAGCCCAAGCATAAGCACAAGCCCAAGCCCAAATAAAAAGATTTTCAGCTCCTATCCCTCCTCTCCCAGACAGCAGAAGCCGACCCCCAGGGCTGCTCCTACCCGAATTTGGCAGAGAAGTTGATGGCGGTATTTTTTTTACTAATTTTTCACCGCTTTCACCGCAGCAGAGACCATTAGGGAACGACCTTTCCCTTTTCCAGGCCCAGCTCGGTACACGGAACCCCGAAAAAATCCGGCAGATGACAAATTTTTCAAACATTTTGAAGTTCTTCTTCGACGTCGCCTTCGCCCCTCGGCTGCCCATTATGGTAATTTGTTTGTACGTGATTAATACTTGGTTTTCTAGAAGCTAAGCCGTTTCCGGGTGCCCGAGCTTGCCCAGGAGCTGGTGGTAAAGATCGCGACCGAGCTGGTCACGCCCGACTTGCAGGGATACGTGCAGCCGACGTTGCTGCAGACGCCGTCGAGGTGGGGCAGATCAAGGAACTCTCTCTCTCTCTCTCTCTCTCTCTCTCTCTCTCTCTCTGTCTACCCCTACTTTTCCAGGTTCCGCCGCAATTCCCCGCACGCCAACTGGGATCTCACTTCTGGAGCTCCGGACGCCATTTGCTTCCGGACGGACATATCCGGGCTGACCCTGCATGGTGTCGGGATTTACACCGGAAACCCGGCGGAGATGACCATGACGATGGAGCTGCTCGAACAGACCTGCAGGCCCGGGGAATCGGAGTGGGATAGGCTGGAGATGGTGACGATCCTCGTTCCCGCCACCGAGGAGGGCAAGGAGACGTTCATTGCAAAGTAAGGCAGAGAGAGAGAGAGAGAGAGAGAGAGAGAGAGAGGAAGAGCTAGCAGAGATTGTTCGGGAAGAGGAGAGGGCAAGCTTGCAGAGATTGTTGAAGAATAATTCAAAGAATTCACAAATTCAAAAATTCAGATTGTCAAAACCGGTACAAATCCTCAGCGGTACCGTCTACGCCATCAAACTATCGACGCAGAACGGGACGAAGACGTTTTGCGGCGAGGGTACGTCTCCAATAATCAGCTACAGTAGTCCCAGAAAATTCAGATAGAGACAGAGTCATTATCCCAAAAAATGGCACCATTTTCTTTCATAAACTACTTTTTTTCGAGTTAGGATTTGAACATTTAAATTCGTCACTTTTAGGAGGCCTGAACTTTGTGCGGCTGTCGAACGGGGCCCGGCTGGTGTTCAACAACAGCGCCATGAGCGAGAACGGGACGTCGATGACGCGCGGCCAGATCCCGTACCTCGTCTACACGCTCAGCGACGCTCTGAAGCCGCAGCTTGACACGAAGAGCGAGAGGGATCAGGTGGGCAGGCGAGCAGGGCTTTTTGGGGAAATAGACGGGTAGGCGAACAGGACATGCTGGCAGAGATTTTCCAGGAAGCTTGGTCGTTTTGGAGACAGGCTAGCAGAGATTTTTAGGGAAATGAAATGCCGGGCGGGCCAGCAGAGATCCTTGAGGAGAAATCTGCCAGGAATGCTAGCAGAGGATTTTGGGAAAACTGAAGTGCCCCGGCAAGCTAGCAAGGGTTCGCTTGCGAGATTTGTCGAACTTCGGCTCGTTCTCCTTTTATCAGGCGATCTAGCAGCGATTTTTAGAGAAAAGTCTGGAATTTTCGAAGGCTAGCAGAGATTTTTCAGGGATTTTACGGCTTGGCAGGCAGACTAGCAGAGGTTTATCAAGAAAATTCTTAGTTGCGGGCAGTCTAGCAGTGATTATTTGCGGATTCTGCGTTTTTTTTCAGCCCTAGACACTTATCAGGCGAGCTAGCAGTGGTTCTTTGCTCATTTTTCTTGGTTGAGGCAGGCTAGCAGAGATTGTTGGGGAATTTTTGTCGGTATTTTGAAGATAGATACATTTATTGATGTGCCTTCAAAATGGCATCTGGAGGGTGGATGATAAGACCCAGGCGGCAGCGAGGAAAACGGCTGATAGTAGCCCCTGCTCGATCCAGAGGGCCGTCTCCCCATCTGCATCCACAACCAGCTGGCGGAGGGGCTGAAAAGGGCCAGGCTAGCAAAGATTATTGGGGAATTTAGGGAAAACAGGCTCGGTCGCTCTCTTTCTTTCTCACGCTCTTGCTCACACTCGTTCTCTAGCTACTGCTCTTCCTCCGGTAAAGTAACTATCTTTTCTGACTTTTCCGGAAATGGCCAGGAGTAAGCTAGCCTAAGCCTAAGCGTAACCGAGCCTAAGCCTTAGCCTAAGCCTAAGCCTAAGCCTAAGCCTAAGCCTAAGCCTAAGCCTAAGCCTAAGCCTAAGCCAAAGCAAAGCCTAAGCCTAAACCTAAGGCTAAGCCAAGACTAAGCCCAAGCCTAAGCCTAAACCCAACCCGCTGCCTAAGCCCTTGCCATTGGGCAGGCTAGCAGAGATTTTTGGGGAAAGACAGGACACCTACCTTATTTTCTTGAACTTCCGGCTGCTGGCGGCTGGCGGCTTTCATTTTCTTGGTGAGGCTGTAGAAAAATTAGGAGATTTTTTGCAAAATCCCTGCAGGACCCGGAGTGCCTGAAAGAGGAATTTTTAAATTTTTAGTTTCGCTAAAAATTTAAAAAAGAAAAAAAAAGAAAGAGAAACTGAAAAAAGAGAAACTGGGCATGCTAGCAGAGGCCTTTGAAGAAAAAGGGGCTAGCAGAGATCGCTGGCTCGCCCTGAAACACCAATCAAATGACCCGTGCGGGCCAACGAAAGAGCAGATCACAGCCGGTGGGCCCTCACGTCTGGGACCCACGGGGTGGCACACATGTGCCCTGGGGCATAGGTCTCTCTCTCTCTCGTACTCTCTCTACCTCTCTCTGTGTCTCTCTCTCTACCTCTCTCTGTCTCTCTCTCTCTCTCTCTCTCCTCTCTCTCTCTCTCTCCCTATCGCCGATCAACTGCTTTCCACGATCAGAGACCTGAGTTAATGAATGGCTTCTACGTGAGGAATGGAGTGCGAACTCGGCAGGCTAGCGGAGATTATTGAGGAAATAGGCAAGGCAACTGGCAGTGATTCTTGAGGAATTCAAAGCTACTGGGCTCAGGGCAGGCTAGCAGAGATTGTTGAGGAAGAGGAGAGGGCAGGCTAGCAGAGATTGTTGAGGAAGAGGAGAGGGCAGGCTAGCAGAGATTGTTGAGGAAGAGGGGAGGGCAGGCTAGCAGAGATTGTTGAGGAAGAGGAGAGGGCAGGCTAGCAGAGATTGTTGAGGAAGAGGAGAGGGCAGGCTAGCAGAGATTGTGGAGGAAGAGGAGAGGGCAGGCTAGCAGAGATTGTTGAGGAAGAGGAGAGGGCAGGCTAGCAGAGATTGTTGAGGAAGAGGAGAGGGCAGGCTAGCAGAGATTGTTGAGGAAGAGGAGAGGGCAGGCTAGCAGAGATTGTTGAGGAAGAGGAGAGGGCATGCTAGCAGAGATTGTTGAGGAAGAGGAGAGGGCAGGCTAGCAGAGATTGTTGAGGAAGAGGAGAGGGCAGGCGAGCAGAGATTGTGAAGGAAAATCAAAAATTTTGCACGCCCACCTGCAGGGGCGGATTAGACGATCCCGAAAGGGGGGCATTTCATATATAGGGTCGGGACTGGAAAAACATGAGAAATGGGAACCCCCATGGCGGATTGATAAGCCACCTGTGACACCTCCGAACCCCCCTCCAATCGCCTGATATAGATAACGGGGCAGCACAGGCCAAGGCCAAAGAGATTGCAAGATACAAGTCTGTCAAAGAGAACGGGGGCAGGCTAGCAGAGATCATTGAGGAATTGGATTTAGTTGGAACGCGTTGATTGGAGGATTTCTAAAGCTCGAAAAAAGCTCTGCTAGCCTGCCCTCATCAGCTACTACACGGGAAAGCTAAATAAAAAATGAGGCGTGGAGAGAGAGACATAGGCAGAGAGTGAGCGAGAGAGAGAGAGAGAGAAAGAGAGAGAGGGAGAGGGAGAAGTAGAGAGAGTACGAGAGCGAGCGGTAGCGCGTAATTACCGAAAATCTTCAACATTCCTCAAGGATCTCTGCTGTTTGGTAGCTTAATCACGCAGAATTTTAGCAAGCAAACTTTCAGAAACCCGCCCTTTTCGGGCAAGCTAGCAAAGAATCTTCAGGAAAACTAATCAAGTTGGACAGGCTAGCAGAGCTCATTTGGTCGTTAAAAACCAAATTTTCTTTTCCAGAATGGCCGCTGGTTCGTGGCGCTGATGCGGGTGTTGGCGGCCAAGATCAGCGAGTCGCTGGCCATTGGCGATGGTGGGTTTTCGGTTTTCTGCGTTTTAAATTTGATTATTATTCTGTATAGTCTGTATGCATTACGTGATACACTGTACTTAAAATATTACAGTACCCCAAGCGGCGCGGAACCTCATCTCCGCTGTCCGCAGGTATGGTGTTTATGCAGACGAACCCGCAAAAGCGCTTGAGGTAGGGGTTTTTCTGTCTATTTCCTCTCGCTCTCAAGCCTCCTCTCGCTTCTTGCCTTCACTTGTTCTCGCTCACCCCGCGCTTCTCTCCCGCTTTTTGCTTCTCGCACTCACTCTCTCTCTCTCCACCTCTCTCTCGCTCTCTCACTCTATCGCTCTTCCCTCTCACTCCTTCCTCTCTCTCGCCTCTGCTCTCTCTCTCTACCCCCTGTCTCCAGCTAGTCGCCCTGATAGGATCAACCCTGCCCATGATCTCGAGCGTCAACGCCGCTTCGCGCCTCCAATCGCCCAGCAACAACATTTTCTCGAGGTACGGTAGCTATGCCGCTTTTAGCGGTCGTTTTTCAGCTACACTGAAGAGAAGAAAACGGTCCAGATCGTCGCGGAGTCGCAGCACCCCTATAAGATGAATTATGTCCAGTCTACGGTAGCGAAAAATGAAGTTACCCTTTAATTTTCAGGGTCTTTAGGTAGTCTCTTTCGATGATGACGTTACTTTTGTGTGCCTGCAATTTTGTGAAGAGTGTCAAACGGCCCAGGTTTAGATTTTCATGGGCTACGGTAGCTGGGGCAAAATTTAGGCAGATGACGTCCTCTGCGTGTATGTGAAGACCGATTCGGATAGCTACGTGCCGGTGGCGAGGTAACTAGCAGAGATTATTGCGGAAGGCAGACTAGCAGAGATTGTTGAGGAAGAGGAGAGGGCAGGCTAGCAGAGATTGTTGAGGAAGAGGAGAGGGCAGGCTAGCAGAGATTGTTGAGGAAGAGGAGAGGGCAGGCTAGCAGAGATTGTTGAGGAAGAGGAGAGGGCAGGCTAGCAGAGATTGTTGAGGAAGAGGAAAGGGCAGGCTAGCAGAGGCTATTTGCAGATATTATGGCTCTCATGGCTGGCCGGTGAAGCCAATCATCCTGCCCGGAAATGTCATTTGGTTTGTGCTGGAAACGGGTAGTCGCATCGATGGCGCTACCCAGGATCAGGTGAGCGGCAGCTCTCTCTCTCACTCTCTCTCTCTCTCTTTCACGCTCTCTGTCTCTCTCTCTCTCTCTCTCTCTCTCTCTCTCTCTCTCTCTCTCTCTGCTTCTCACGCCTTCTTTTCAGATGTATGGCTTCCGATGCACCGTAACTGGATACCCGGAAATGGACGAACCCTCCAACCTACAAATGGAGCAAGAGCTCGTGTGGATCTCGGCGAACGCCTGTAGAATATTGGTCGAGGTACAACATTTTAAATTTACGTTCCGTAAGCATCTCTGCTAGCCTGTCCATGTAAATTCTATCTGTAATTTATCTTTTTTCTAGTTACCCAACGATGCGGACAGCCTATCGCAGGTGCTGATTGAAGAGGAGGAGACCAGAGATCTACTGGAGCATCACGGTCATTTGTTGAGAAAGGTAAATCTCAGTCCAAGCCTAAGCCAAGCCTAAGCCTCAACCTAAGCCTAAGCCGAAGCCTAGTCTAAGCTCTCCTTTCCAGGGGCTGAACTTCGCCCACACGCCATCGGCCCATGAGTTACTCAGCCGAAGCCTGCCCGCCCCGGCCCTCACCTCAGGTGCATTTTCTTAGACTTACTTGCTAAAAAATCATGCTGGTAATTAAAAAAATCATTGTGTGAGTAGTCTTTAATATTAAAAGTTTTCAGACCTCCGCTTCTTGCGCGAGTTCATCTCCGGCTCGCCGGCTACTGTCGCCGGGCTTTTGGCCAGGTACGATCCTTTTGTATAGAAAAAAAATATGATTTCTAACTTGAACTTTATCAGGTTTTAAATCTGATTAATAGAAGTCGATATTTAAGCTGAAATATTCAGGTGGCTCCCCCTCGGTCCCGTCGTCGACTTGGCGACCTGCCAGTTGGTGATGAGCGACGAGCAGCTGACGGTTGGGGGAAGGAATACGGTACCTGGGGAACAAGCCGTAAAATTTCTGGAATTTTTTAGATAAAATTCATCGCTCGGGACCAATTGGGAAGGTTGGCGCAGTGTCCGGAGCTGAACATCGAGGTCAATCTCTCTTCCCTCTCTCTCTCTCTCTCTCTCTCTCTCTCTCTCTTTGTTTCTCTCTCTCGCTCTCTCCCTTAACTTGCCAGTCCCTGAAAAACCAATTTCAGATCTCGGTCCAAATTGGCGGAAGTAGCAGCGATTCGACGCGCGGAGACGCAATCCGATCCCTAGACAACTTGCCGTCCCTTCAGATGATGCTCCAGGTAGGGCAGGCTAGCAGAGATTGTTGAGGAAGAGAAGAGGGCAGACTAGCAGAGGTTATTTACGTATTTTAGAACCCCTACCAGCCGATGTATCTAAACAAGGCGCGCTACACCTCCATCTGCGTGATGCCCGCTTATTCCGGCTTCAGCCAGGAAGAGCTGAGGTCGGTCCTTCTGGTACGGTCCCTGAAAAATGGGTCTTTTTAGGCTCGGACTCTTCCGGGACGCCATCTCCAGGGAGTGTATCGTGTTGCAGCCTAGGAACGGGTTTAGGTGAGAGAGAGAGAGAGAGAGAGAGAGAAAGAAAGAAAGAGAGAGAGTGAGAGAGAGAGAGAGAGAGAGATAGATTGTTCCAATTCCAGCTTCTCCGGCGACTGGACCCCGCGCCAACCTGGCACCTATCGAGTCGAGTGTCGCGTTGACGGCTTCCAACTTCCGCAATGTTACACTGTCGAGGTTTCTTACCAAGCCTAAGCCTAAGCCTAACCTACGATGTTTCAGGTAGTCGAAAGCGGTGACAAGCAAGAGGGAAAGAAGGGCCGCCACCGTGTCGCGCAGCTCTCCCGAGCCCAAATCGCCAGCATCCAGGCTACCGCCCCTTTCCAAGCTGTTCGCATCCGGAATTCCCCCTCCTTGACGGCCCAAATCGTCGGCTTCTTGCCAAGAGGTGGGCAGGCCAGCGCAGAATCTTGAGGAATTTTTCAGGCTCGACCCTGACGTTCATCGAGGAGGTGGAAAATGTGGATGGGAAATGGCTGCGACTTACCGAGGAGACAAGCGCTTTGCATGCAGAGGCGCCACATGGACATGTTCAGGTAGCGGTCGAATTCATCAACAATTTCTGCTAACCTACTCGCTCCTCTTTCTCAACAATCTCTGCTAGCCTGCCCTCTCCTCTTCCTCAACAATCTCTGCTAGCCTGCCCTCTCCTCTTCCTCAACAATCTCTGCTAGCCTGCCCTCTCCTCTTCCTCAACAATCTCTGCCAGCCTGCCCTCTCCTTTTCCTCAACAATCTCTGCTAGCCTGCCCTCTCCTCTTCCTCAACAATCTCTGCTAGTCTGCCCTCTCCTCTTCCTCAACAGTCTCTGCTAGCCTGCCCTCTCCTCTTCCTCAACAATCTCTGCTAGCCTGCCCTCTCCTCTTCCTCAACAATCTCTGCTAGCCTGCCCTCTCCTCTTCCTCAACAATCTCTGCTAGCCTGCCCTCTCCTCTTCCTCAACAATCTCTGCTAGCCTGCCCTCTCCTCTTCCTCAACAATCTCTGCTAGCCTGCCCTCTCCTCTTCCTCAACAATCTCTGCTAGCCTGCCCTCTCCTCTTCCTCAACAATCTCTGCTAGCCTGCCCTCTCCTCTTTCTCAACAACCTCTGCTAGCCTGCCCTCTCCTCTTCCTCAACAATCTCTGCTAGCCTGTCCTCTCCTCTTCCTCAACAATCTCTGCTAGCATGCCTCAAAATTTATTTTCCAGGCCTGGTGCCTCCAATTCCACAAAGCCCTCGACCGAGAATTGATCCGACTTGTCGAAGCTGTTCGCTCCCCGAAAGAAGAATGTCAGCGCCAAGAGAGCGTCGAGATGCAAAAATCGATGGAGCGCGCCGGAGAGCAGAGCGTGTTGATCGAGACCCAGGAGGTAGGCTCTAAACTGCAAAACCAAGGCCAAAACTTAGATGTATGTTCTCGAGGACGGCGACCGGGTCGAGCTGTTCAGCCGGCCGTCCCTTGACGCGGTAGTCGATGGGGAAATGGTTGAAGGTGAGGGGCAGGCTAGCAGACTGTTGAGGAAGAGAAGAGGGCAGGCTAGCAGAGATCTTTTGTGAAATACAATTTTTCAGGGCGTCGGGAGCTGCTCACCGACGGCTGGGTGCACAATGCTCAAGGCGTCTGGATCCGGCTTGCCCACACGAAGCGCTTCATCTTGGCTGAGGACCAGGTCGGGCGGTCCTCGGTGCATTCCCAGGCCCAGAGCTCGAACGGGAATGATGATGAGGAGCCCGGGCCGTCGAAGCCGACGCCAGTCAGGTGGGGTTTCCTCAAGAGTCTCTGCTAGTTTGCCCAGGTTTGAAAATTAGCTTACGTTGTTTATAGGGCCCCGGCGACGTCGGTGAAGGCGATGCGACCTTCGATTGTGGATTGCTGCCGAACAGGTAGATCTCTCACTCTCTCTCACTCTCTCTCTCTTTCTTTCTCTCTCTCTCTCTCCTCTTTCTAAGCCTTCAATTTCAGTTTTTGCCGCTTTCCTGTGGCACGAGCATCTCGTGAAGGACGCGATGGCTGCAGCTGCGTATCTCAAATTTCACAGCCATTTACATAACGTAAGCAGTTCGAGGTTACGGTGGCTTTGCGGCATTCGAAGCCTGGGCTGGGCTTAGGCTTACGCTTAGGTGTGGTCTTAAGTTAGGCTTAACTAAAGCGTAGGCTTGGGTTTAGGCTTAGGCTTACACTTACGCATAGGCTTGGCTTAGGCTTAGGCTGAGGCTTAGCTTTGGCTTAGCTAGTCTTAAAAACGCACCTACAGTACCCCCATTTCCAGCTCTGGCCTTGCTCGCAAACCGCCCCAATCTCGCTGGCGCCCAGCCCGCTACAGCCGTTGGTCAAGGTCTGGAAGGAGGTCGGGTATTTGTCATTTTTGATTTTATGGAAGTAAACAGGATATAAAAATAAGAAAAATACAATAAAATAAGAAAAATACAATAAAATAAGAAAAATAAATAAAAATAATGAGCATCATATAAAAATAATAATTTTCTAGGTCAGCGCCGCGATCCAAAGCACTATCCAGCAAAATATTCTGCTGCCCTCCCCGCCGTCGGTCCGGCGCCCAAGGTATCGTTTTTCTATACAAAATTAATGGCGAATTTCATGTATTTTTAATCGTTTAATATTACACCGAAATTCCAGGCCCGGCCAAAACCCTGATATGGCCACTTTGGAAACCGGCGAAGCGATGTGCGAGCTTTGCGAGGGGAGATGCCGAGGGCCCGTTACTGGTAATAGGCTTAATTTTATTATTTATGGTTTTAAATTAACTAAATTAAATAGATTTTGTAAAGTTAAGCAGCTGGGTTGCACGCATTTTTTTACGTTTTAACTTCGAAAAAATAAGTTGAAAATTTGGGTTTAGTTCACATGCGGATGGGACACCCGGGCTGCGGAGGGGAATGCCAGGGCCATGGATATAATTCGCATGGAAAGTACACCACCGGGTGGGCCGGCATGTGCGGCGAGGGCGGGCGAGCGCCTTCAACATGGTCAGTTGACTTTTTGGAGAATTAGGCAGGTCAGCAGAGATTGTTGAGGAAGAGGAGAGGGCAGGATAGCAGAGATTGTTGAGGAAGAGGAGAGGGCAGGCTAGCAGATATTGTTGAGGAAGAGGAGAGGGCAGGCTAGCAGAGATTGTTGAGGAAGAGGAGAGGGCAGGCTAGCAGAGATTGTTGAGAAAGAGGAGGGGCTGTCTAGCAGAGATTGTTGAGGAAGAGGAGAGGGCAGGCTAGCAGAGATTGTTGAGGAAGAGGAGAGGGCAGGCTAGCAGAGATTGTTGAGAGGAGGGGAGGGAGATGGCAGTCGAGATTGTTGAGGAAGAGGAGAGGGCAGGCTAGCAGAGATTGTTGAGGAAGAGGAGAGGGCAGGCTAGCAGAGATTGTTGAGGAAGAGGAGAGGGCAGGCTAGCAGAGATTGTTGAGGAAGAGGAGAGGGCAGGCTAGCAGAGTTTGTTGAGGAAGAGAAGAGGGCAGGCAAGCAGCGATTGTTGAGGAAGAGGAGAGGGCAGCCTGGCAGATATTGTTGAGGAAAAGGAGGGGCAGGCTAGCAGAGAACTTTGAGCTTCAGGTACCTGCTGTGCCCTCCTTGCCGAGCCGCCTATTTACGTCAGACACCTTCTGGTCATCAACAGGAACGGAACAGAAGGTATCTTACCTCTCTCTCTCTCTCTCTCTTTCTCTCTCTCTCTCTGTCTCTCTCTGTCTCGCTCACTCTCCCTTTCAGATGGCGCGAATTCCGACTCTCCAGTGGCCAACTTGACAGTCGACCCGAGTCTGTCATTCGCCAGAACGCGCTCTTCCTCCTCGACCTGAACGCTACGGTCGAAGGAGCCGAGGGGAGCAAGGTGGGTTAAGTAGTCCTAAGTCCAAGCCTAGCCTGACCTCCTCAAGAATCCCTTCCAGCCTGCCCTACCTCTGCTTTTTAGAACAGCTCTGCAACCACTTCCGGCTGGACTACCGTATTCCCCGGCCAGCTCCTCTCGCCTACCGTATACCGATCGGCAAACCTCGGGGGTCCCGGCACGACGCATACGGTAAGTCGTTAAACTCGCGTTGTGGAGTTTGGAATACCGTACGGTGATGTACTTTATCGCACTATGTCGTACGCCTCCGTACCAAAACGTACTATATCGGATTTTGTTGTACGGAAGCTTTTCCAAGTTATGGTAGCGTACGGTAGCGGATTCTAACGTACACAACATAGTACGGCTGCCGTACCGTACGGTGACGTACTTCATCGTACCGCGCCGTACGCCACCGTACTGCAACGTACGGCAACGTCTCTACTGTATTTTTCGTACTGAAACGCACTCTAGCGTATTTTCAGCTTACCACAACTTCGCATCAAATTCGAAAAGATTCGGACGCCCTCCCGATCTCGTCGGCAGCCGCCCATTCCAGCGACCCTGGCCCAAAGGTACGGTAGCTCGGCAAAAATCTCGTTTTTGAGTTTTAGGCGTGCTCTTCCAGCCGCATTGACGTGTCGTTCGAGGACAAGCTGCAACAGGGTGGAGATGAGGTGGTAACTACTGTCTCGCCAGTGACAATAATTTGCGCACTCGATAGCCGGGAGAGCAGACATGAAGGGTCACAACATTTATTCGGAGGATGTCCCCGGTGGGGTGACACCTCGGTGAAGTAAATGAGGACAGGGAAGCCGGGGTCGGAGCGGATGACTGAAGCAATCACAACGAGAAATCGGGGCTTTATATACCAGGGAACACAGGGAAATCAGGATGTAAATGAGGGGAAGGGATGGTTATTGACTTGGTCTTCCGGTCATTCAGCATGCGCATGCAGTCGCGGGATCGCGACAACTACGCATTAATGGGTGTTCTCATCAAAAATCTCTGGTAGCCTGCCCTCTCCTCTTCCTCAACAATCTCTGATAGCCTCCCTCTCCGCTTCCTCAACAATCTTTGCTAGCCTGCCCTCCTCTTCCTCAACAATCTTTGCTAGCCTGCCCTCCCGTCTTCCTTAACAATCTCTGCTAGCCTCCCTCTCCGCTTCCTCAACAATCTTTGCTGGCCTGCCCTCTCCGCTTCCTCAACAATCTTTGCTAGTCCTCTCCTCTTCCTCAACAATCTCTGCTAGCCTGCCCTCTCCTCTTCCTCAACAATCTCTGCTAGCCTCCCTCTCCGCTTCCTCAACAATCTTTGCTAGCCTGCCCTCTCCTCTTCCTCAACAATCTTTGCTAGCCTGCCCTCTCCTCTTCCTCAACAATCTTTGCTAGCCTGCCCCTCTCCTCTTCCTCAACAATCTCTGCTAGCCTCCCTCTCCGCTTCCTCAACAATCTTTGCTAGCCTGCCCTCTCCTCTTCCTCAACAATCTTTGCTAGCCTGCCCTCTCCTCTTCCTCAACAATCTCTGCTAGCCTCCCTCTCCGCTTCCTCAACAATCTTTGCTAGCCTGCCCTCTCCTCTTCCTCAACAATCTTTGCTAGCCTGCCCTCTCCTCTTCCTCAACAATCTCTGCTAGCCTGCCCTCTCCTCTTCCTCAACAATCTCTGCTAGCCTGCCCTCTCCTCTTCCTCAACAATCTCTGCTAGCCTGCCCTCTCCTCTTCCTCAACAATCTCTGCTAGCCTGCCCTCTCCTCTTCCTCAACAATCTCTGCTAGCCTGCCCTCTCCTCTTCCTCAACAATCTCTGCTAGCCTGCCCTCCTCCGCCGCGATGCAATGACACACTCCAGGTTCTCCAATCCCCCTCAGCCGCCCTCGTCTCCCTCGTCTCCACATCTTCGAGCTGTTCGCCCAGCCGTCAGTCATTAGCGCGCCGCCCGGTGATGGCGTTCGTCATCGAGCACCACGACTTGAAGAGGTTCAGCCTGGCTGCAGATTTGCAGAATTACTGTATGATTCCAGGGTGCGGGAGGCGTCCTTCTCGGCGGTGAAGCGGGCGGTGGGGTTCGCGCATGCGTTCCGGGTGTGGAACTGGTTGCTGCGGCTCGTCTCGTCGGAAACAAGGTCCGGCGGTTGTTCATCTACAGCCATGTTTGTTTTTAGCGTTTCCGACGTGGTGCTGCAGTATCTCTGCTCGTTATCCTCGTACTCGGCGCTGGTCGAGCCGTCGACGCGCGCCCCGGTGAAATTGTTGCCTCACCCTTGGCGGCTGTGCTTTTTGGCAGGTGAGAGAGAGCACGAGATATCTAAAGAGGTAGGGCGAGAGGGAACGAGAGAGAGAGAGAGAGAGAGAGAGAGAGAGAGAGAGAGAGAGAGAGAGAGAGATAGAGAGAGAGAGAGAGAGAGAGAGAGAGAGATTAGCAGAATCCCTTTTAGGCCCGATCGCCGTAAAAATGGTGCAGCAACTCCATGCCTTCCTCTACACGATCGCCGTCATTTTGCAGTCGTCCGGAGTGGACCCCGGGTTACGGTAAATTTTTCGTATAATTCAATTTCCTGCTTTTCCAGGAGTCTCTGCTTTAAGGCGTGGACCATCCAGCTGACTGCCCACGAACAGGTGGGAAATTTTAAGCAAAAACAGTGCATTGAAAAAGCGTTTATTCGTGCAAAAACGGTGCTTGGGCGGGTGTTCGAGTGGTTGCGTAGCGTAGCGTCGCGTAGCCCGCCTGGCCGGTCTGTTAAACGGCCGCCCGATCCGAGCCGTCTTCGCATGTCATCTCCACCGTGAACTGCGTCACCTCGTCGCCCTGGAAATTGACTTCTCGGTTCAGCCTGCCCTCCCCTCTTCCTCAACAATTTCTGCTAGCCTGCCCTCTTCTCTTCCTCAACAATTTCTGCTAGCCTGCCCTCTCCTCTTCCTCAACAATTTCTGCTAGCCTGCCCTCCCCTCTTCCTCAACAATCTCTGCTAGCCTGCCCTCTCCTCTTCCTCAACAATCTCTGCTAGCCTGCCCTCTCCTCTTCCTCAACAATCTCTGCTAGCCTGCCCTCTCCTCTTCCTCAACAATCTCTGCTAGCCTGCCCTCTCCTCTTCCTCAACAATCTCTGCTAGCCTGCCTCCCCAAAATACGACAAAAATCTTACCGCTTTCTCCTTCGATAGTCGCAGCGGCGTCACCACGGTTTCTTTGTGACTACTAAAAACGCAACCAAATTCTAGCTTCAATATTTCTTACTTATTCATTGTCGCCTGTGCCTGTAAGGATGGTGCTCGTTGGCGTCTGAAACACAAACAGTAAACATCGAACGGCTTCAGCAAAACTTTGCGTGGGAAGGCTAGCAGAGACCGTTGCGCAAGTGCTCACCCAGAAACCGGCGGGGTGGGGGTTCCTGCAGCGGCGGCTGCGGCCGCCGCGGCCGTCTTGCGCAGCGTGGGCGCGGCGGGTGCTCGAGCCGATTTGGCTGGTGGGGGCTTCAGCTTCTCCGTCTTGTCCTTGGTCCTCGTCTCTTTGGTGTCTTTGCTCTTGGGCCGGGGCGCGGTTGGGTCGCTGCAAATTTCGGATAGAAACGATCAAAGAAAATTCTCTCTCTCTATCTCTCTCTCTCTCTCTCTCTCTCTCGCTCTCTCTCCCTCTCTCGCTGATCCAAAACTCACTTGGTCAGATTCGTATCCCTGCTGTTGTCGGTGGAGCACTTGCTGAAAATGTGGGCGCTTATGTGTTAACGGGAGTGCTAGATAGCCATGCTTAGACGTAGTCGATGAACCAGTCGCCAAAATACCGATACAATTCGGGCAGGCTAGCAGCGATTCCTTAGAAAAAACCCTAGGCCTACGCTTTGCCGCCCTTCTTCGACTCGGGTGGGAGCGGCTCCCTAAAACACCGAATTTGGTTAGGGTTCTAAGATTTGCACCTCGACTGCGGCATCTCCTGGATGAACATGCGGGGGCTAAACAAATATCATGCCGTAATCGATTCCCGGAATGTAACGTACTCTCCCTCTCGGCGCTTGTCGTCCCGCACACCGCGGTCCCCTCGATTCGCTTTGGACTCGCTTTTTTCGCTGAAAATGGGGTAAGCTAGCAGAGATGCGATGTGAGAGAGGAGAGGGCAGGCTAGCTGAGATCATTTGGAAATCCCCACTCGAGCAGCTTGTCGATCTCGTCATCCATGTTCATCTCCCCTCCGACCGACGGGGCCGGGACGGTCTGGGGCGCCGGCGTCTTGGGGGCGGTCGCCGTCGTTCCGGGCCCTTTTACCGATACCCCCGGTTTTTCCTTCTAAAAATGAACATACCAAGCGCCTGAACAGAAAATTCTGAACAAGACTCTATCTCCAAAAATACTGTAGAACTGCGAAAATTGCCTACAAATACCTGGATTAATTTGTCGTACGCGTCCAGCTTCCACTTGCACTCCTTTTCCACTTGCTTCAACTGAAAAGAATCAATATGCTTTCCTCAACGACCGCTGCTAGTCTGCCCCTCGTTAAAAAGCGCCCAAAATACCGTACCCGGTTGTAAAACATTGCATTTAACTTCTCGTTGAGCCGATAATAGCAGCACAGGGATACGAAGCCGCCGAGCATTAACAGAATCTCGATGCCGAACGCAATTACGCTGACTGGAAATAGATTATAAAGAGTGTAACAATTCCCTGAGGATCTACATGCTAGCCTGCCCTCTCCTCTTCCTCAACAATCTCTGCTAGCCTGCCCTCTCCTCTTCCTCAACAATCTCCGCTAGCCTGCCCTCTCCTCTTCCTCAACAATCTCTGCTAGCCTGCCCTCTCCTCTTCCTCAACAATCTCTCTAGCCTGCCCTCTCCTCTTCCTCAACAATCTCTGCTAGCCTGCCCTCTCCTCTTCCTCAACAATCTCTGCTAGCCTGCCCTCTCCTCTTCCTCAACAATCTCTGCTAGTCTGCCCTCTCCTCTTCCTCAACAATCTCTGCTAGCCTGCCCTCTCCTCTTCCTCAACAATCTCTGCTAGCCTGCCCTCTCCTCTTCCTCAACAATCTCTGCTAGCCTGCCCTCTCCTCTTCCTCAACAATCTCGCTAGCCTGCCCTCTCCTCTTCCTCAACACTCTCTGCTAGCCTGCCCTCTCCTCTTCCTCAACAATCTCTGCTAGCCTGCCCTCTCCTCTTCCTCAACAATCTCTGCTAGCCTGCCCTCTCCTCTTCCTCAACAATCTCTGCTAGCCTGCCCTCTCCTCTTCCTCAACAATCTCTGCTAGCCTGCCCTCTCCTCTTCCTCAACAATCTCTGCTAGCCTGCCCTCTCCTCTTCCTCAACAATCTCTGCTAGTCTGCCCCTCTCCTCTTCCCTCAACAATCTCTGCTTGCCTGCCCTCTCCTCTTCCTCAACAATCTCTACTAGCCTGCCCTCTCCTCTTCCTCAACAATCTCTGCTAGCCTGCCCTCTCCTCTTCCTCAACAATCTCTGCTAGCCTGCCCTCTCCTCTTCCTCAACAATCTCTGCTAGCCTGCCCTCTCCCTCTTCCTCAACAATCTCTGCTAGCCTGCCCTCTCCCTCTTCCTCAACAATCTCTGCTAGCCTGCCCTCTCCTCTTCCTCAACAGTCTCTGCTAGCCTGCCCTCTCCTCTTCCTCAACAATCTCTGCTAGCCTGCCCTCTCCTCTTCCTCAACAATCTCTGCTAGCCTGCCCTCTCCTCTTCCTCAACAATCTCTGCTAGCCTACCCTCTCCTCTTCCTCAACAATCTCTGCTAGCCTGCCCTCTCCTCTTCCTCAACAATCTCTGCTAGCCTGCCCTCTCCTCTTCCTCAACAATCTCTGCTAGCCTGCCCTCTCCTCTTCCTCAACAATCTCTGCTAGCCTGCCCTCTCCTCTTCCTCAACAGTCTCTGCTAGCCTGCCTTTTCTGAAATCTCAATTTACCACCCACATTTTAGAATTGTAGATTCCATTCTAAAAATAAAAAGGGATAGCCGGGCGAGTGAGGTAGAAAAAAGAGAATGGCATTTTTGAGGAGCTTCTATCTAGTTCGCAAACTGAGGATTCAAATTTAGGGTATGCCAGCAGAGATTTTTGAGGAATTTCAAGTTTCCTTTTCAGGACCTTCTCACGTTGACCTGCTCGATCTTGGCGTCAGTCGGCCGAGTGCTATCCGACCCGTCGGCCGATCAAATCTTCTTCGACAGCCCGTCGGACTCGAATCTGGGAAATTCATTGGTGGAGAGGTGGGGGGTTTTTGGGGGTATTTGGTTGTTAACGGGGGGGGCAGGGTGATCGAACCTATCAAGTCTAGGCTAAGCTTGGGACTTGCTAATTTTTTATGACTTGCTATGCTTACAACGTTTTTAAAGACTGATTTAATTTATTCCTTTCAGGGCGCCGGAGACCCAAAAAACTGGAGACGTTCGGCACATGGTGGACGTGAGTTTTTAACGAGAATATTTTCAAAAATAGTAATTATTAATGTTTAAAAATTATGAACTGTTTTCTGTCATTTTAGCTGAGCCTGGAGTGCGACATCGAAGCCTCATCTCGGCAAGCGATGGTCGTCTGCCTGACCGACGGCAGCCCGGAGACGTTTTGGGAATGTGGAGAAGAGGTAGGAGAAGTCTAAGCCTAAGCCTAAGCCTAAGCCTAAACCTGACCGTAAGCCTAAGCCTAAACCTAAGCCTAAGCCTAAGCCCAAAGCTAAGCGTCGGCCTAAGCTTAAGCCTAAGCCTAAGCCTAAGCCTAACCTAAGCCAAAGCCTAAGCCTAACCTAAGCCTAACCTAAGCCTAAGCCTAAGTCTTTGCCCAAACCTGAGCCTAAGCCTAAGTCGAAGCCTAAGCCCGAACCTAGGCCCAAGCCTCTTCAGTTCCTCCCGTTTAGGACAAAAATCGAGCACGAGCCCTGACGCTCACCGTCCGCCCCAACGGCACTACGCCCGTCCTGTTGGCCATCTTCTTCGACAACGTGCGTGACGAGATGTTCAGGTTGGGATGCTTTTCTCCGTTGAAATTCTTGCTTCAGAACCAACGCCGTCCAAATCCGAGCCATGCTCCCCGACGGCTCGAAGCGCAATTTGCATACGCAGCAGCTGGACGTGGTAAAATTTCTAGAATCCTATAGCTTAAAAGCATCTCCGTTTCTCGAACCATAGCTTCCTGCCTTCAATGGACCTTTAAAATCGAACATTTTGGGTTTTTTGCAGCAGTTCGTCGGCTGGGTGAAGGCGTGCGTTTTCGGCGCGCAACAGGCCCAGATCATACTCCGTGGGCCGTATCCAGCGCAAAGGATTCGACAGGTAGCGGTTGAAAAACCTGGAGGGCAGGCTAGCAGAGATCATTTATGAGGGAAAACTTTCAGGTGTTGCTCACCGGATATCGGCAAAGCCGGGGCGAGTCGCCGAAGCTTCTGAAGCCCTCTCAATCGCATCAGCTGCTATTTTCGTCTACCCAAAATGACGCATTTGCCTTGTTCCAGGCGCTCTCGGCACAGGCGAGTGCTAGCAAAGATCCTTGAGGAAATGGAGAGGGCAGGCTAGCAGAGATTGTTGGGGAAGAGGAGAGGGCAGGCTAGCAGAGATTGTTGAGGAAGAGGAGAGGGCAGGCTAGCATAGATTGTTGAGGAAGAGGAGAGGGCAGGCTAGCAAAGATCCCTGAGGAAGAGGAGAGGGCGGGCTAGCAGAGATTGTTGAGGAAGAGGAGAGGGCGGGCTAGCAGAGATTGCTGAGGAAGAGGAGAGGGCAGGCTAGCAAAGATCCCTGAGGAAGAGGAGAGGGCGGGCTAGCAGAGATTGTTGAGGAAGAGGAGAGGGCGGGCTACAGAGATTGTTGAGAAGAGAGAGGGCGGGCTAGCAGAGATTGTTGAGGAAGAGGAGAGGGCAGGCCAGCAGAGATTGTTGAGGAAGAGGAGAGGGGCTAGCAGAGATTGTTGAGGAAGAGGGAGAGGGCAGGCTAAGCAAAGATCCCTGGAGGAAGAGGAGAGGGCGGGCTAGCAGAGATTGTTGAGGAAGAGGAGAGGGCGGGCTAGCAGAGATTGCTGAGGAAGAGGAGAGGGCGGGCTAGCAGAGATTGTTGAGGAAGAGGAGAGGGCAGGCCAGCAGAGATTGTTGAGGAAGAGGAGAGGGCGGGCTAGCAGAGATTTTTGAGGAAGAGAAGATGGCAGGCTGGCAGGGATCGTTGAGGAAGAGGAGAGGGCAGGCTAGCAGAGATTGTTGAGGAAGAGGAGAGGGCAGGCTAGCAGAGATCTTTGCGGAAAAATTGAAACTTTTTGAGGCATTTTCCGATGAGATGGCCGAGGAGCAGCACGGGACTTTGAGACAGCGGGTTATCGATTTGTTGTTTAGGTATTTTATCGATTTTTTTTCGCCACTACAAGCTACAGAGCTATTAGTTGCATGGAACTTAATGCCAAAATGCAATTGGACAATTTCAGTCGAGTCCAGCTACAACCCCTACAAACACACGTTTGTACACAGATTGCCAATGCGCTGGAAAGGTGAGAGAGAGAGAGAGAGAGAGAGAAAGAGGAGAGGAGAGCGAGATAGAGAGAGAGAGTGAGACAGCGAGAGAGCACAACCTCATTTTCAGAGAAGTCATATCGCTGCGGGACCGCGGCAAGCGCAACTACTCTTACGCCTGCGGGCTGATGCATATTTTGACGCGGATCTGCGCCTCGAGAAAAGGCACAGAGGTCGGTATTTTTTTATTTTCCAAGGGTCATCCAAGTCAGGCAGGCTAGCAAAGATTCTTTAAAATTTTCAGCCATCTATTTTAGGTCTTTTCCGCCCGCAACTACCTGCTGCTCACCCTCTCCGAGTTGCTGCTCTTTTCTCCACAGGTGAGGAAGAATGTCAGGGTTTTGTTGGGGCTGGCTAACTAGCAGGGAACTTCAGGAACCCGGGCAGGCTAGCAGAACCCATGTAGGATTCCAGGAATTGAGAAAAACCCTGGAAATCCATTAAAAAAACTTTTTCAGGTCGTACAGTGTCAAATCCTGGAGACCATAGAAAAGCTGTTGGGCGTCTTCTCCCCATCGCAGGTAAGTGATTTTTTGGCTTTTTTTTAATTCTGGAGTCCATTACCGTAGCCAGGGCCCCAAATGACTTATAAATTTCAGGTAGACACCAGCCGTTTTGTGGCCAATTTCCTGGTGTGTGTGGCGAAAGTGGTTACGTTGCAAGTGCGGGATAAAGCGGCGCATTCGGTCAATACCGTAACGTTAAATGTGAGTTTTTAGTAAGTGGTCAGCTAGCAGAGATTGTTGTGGAAGAGGAGAGGGAAGACTGGCAGAGATTGTTGAGGAAGAGGAGAGGGCAGACTAGCAGAGATTGTTGAGGAAGAAGAGAGGGCAGGCTAGCAGAGATTGTTGAGGAATAGGGGAGGGCAGGCTAGCAGATATTGTTGTGGAAGAGGAGAGGGCAGACTGGCAGAGATGGTTGAGGGAGAGGAGAGGGCAGGCCAGCAGAGATTGTTGAGGAAGAGGAGAGGGCAGGCTAGCAGAGATTGTTGAGGAATAGGGGAGGGCAGCCTAGCAGAGACCTTGACGGAAAATTGGTTGAATTTCAGACCCAAATCTCCGACGCACCAACGCATTGGAAAATCGACAAACCAATGTCGGGCGAAATGGGGCGGCTGGTGCACAAATTTCTGCTCGACGCCTGGTAAGAAAAGATGGAGGGGCAGGGAGAGGGAGAGAGAAAGAGAGAGAGAGAGAGAGAGAGAGAGATAGGCGCCTGATGTCCATAATCCTTTTAGCGCCGGCGACTTCTCCGAAAGCTGGGCGCACGCATTCCGGAAAGAGTGTGCTCAGGCGATAGTCGGTGTTCTGCGCCTTGGGGCCCAGGATTTCAGCTCGATCACATCATCGGCAGGTGGGGAGCGCTAGCAGAGGTTGTTGGGGATTTGAGGACGTAGCAGAGCGAGCAAGAAAGCTATAGAGAAAGAGAGTGATAGAGAGCGAGAAAGAGAGAAATATACATCCTCTAGGCGCCAGCTCATCCTCCTCCTGGCAATGCAATGGCGTGCTCTCATCCCGCCGCTTCTGGCTGGCCGTTTCGGCGCTGAGCGTCTGCCGCAACCGCGAGTGGATGGAGCTGGCCGAGGGGTGGGCGGGGATTCAGGTGGGGATCCTTTTAGATGAGGTTTAGGCTTAGGCTTAGGCTCGCTAGGCTTGAACTTTCACGGGTTAAAATTCAGACCTCAAAGGGCAACGACCCGGAGCCGTTCTGCGAGAACCACGACGACGGGCGGACGCTGGCCCAGGTACACTGCGAGGTGTGTCGCGGTAATCTATGCAGGGACTGCTTCTCCATCCTTCACCTCAACAAGAAGAACCGCAGTCATGAGGTATGGCAGACATCTCAAAGCTTTAATGGATATTTTAGGTGCGGCTGCTCGGATCGTCGAATTCCGCTCCACAAGTGGAGATACACGACGGATGCTCCAGGCTTAGGCTTCCGAACATGCTGGTGAGTACTATCTTGTTCTCTCACTCTCTCTCTCTCTCTCTCTCTCTCTATCTCTCTCCCTCTGGCTTCACACCATAATTTTAGGTACTCTTCCACGGCCAAACTCTGAACGGTTTGGTTGAGTTGAGCGTCGACCCATTGTTCCCTACCGGCTCTTCATTCCACAATCGTCCGATGGCTGCCCAGAATCCATCAGCATCCACGCATCTACCCTCGAACAAATGCCGCTTCTGCGAGGCGCCACTCAGCGGAGAGACCCAGGTGGGCAGGCTAGCAGAGATTGTTGAGGAAGAGGAGGGGCAGGCTAGCAGAGATTGTTGAGGAAGAGGAGAGGGCAGGCTAGCAGAGATTGTTGAGGAAGAGGGGAGGGCAGGCTAGCAGAGATTGTTGAGGAAGAGGAGAGGGCAGGCTAGCAGAGATTGTTGAGGAAGAGGAGAGGGCAGGCTAGCAGAGATGATTGAGAATTTTCCAGGTGCTAGAAGGCGTCTGCGGCCACACCGAGTGCCAAGAGTTCAACCGGATCGCCTGCCAGAAATCGCTGCCCTGTGGCCATCGGTGGGTTTTAAAGGGTCGATTAAGTCAAGGTTCTCGTCTCTCTCTCTCTCTCTCTCTCTCTCTCTTTCGCTCTCTGGCCTCTTATACAGCTTTTTCTAGTTGTTGCGGAATCGCCGGCGAAGAATCCTGTCTGGAATGTATGCAGTGTCCACGTGAAGGTAAGCCTAAGCTTAAGCCTAAGCCTAAGCCCAAACCCCCTTTTATACCGATTAATTCAGGAACTTCCCAGGATGGCGATGACGTGTGCGTCATTTGCTTCACCGACCGTCTAGGCGCCGCTCCGTGCATCAAAATCGAGGTATCTTACCCTCATTACCACCCAAGCATCTCAACCATTAGTGCGGCCACATCTTCCACTACGCCTGCGTGCGGGCCGTGCTCGAGAAGCGGTGGAACGGGCCCCGCATCCTCTTCCGCTTCATGAATTCGCCCTCATGCAATGGGGAGGTGAGGAGCGGGATTTTGGGCAGGCTAGCAGAGACCATTTGTGGTACTAGAGACCAGTACTAGCCTATTAGCGGGGAGGGGGCCAAAAATTTTTTATTGCAAATGAAATAAAGCTGAATTTCAGATGGAGCACCCCGGAATCCGTGACCTGATTGAGCCGTTGAAAGCCCTAAAAACGGAAGTGCTCCAAAAATCCAAATTGCGGCTTGAATACGACGGAATGATGGACTGCCAAGCGGTTGTCTCGCCGAATAGGTAAGAGAGAGGGGGAGAGAGAGAGAGCGCGTTAGAGAAAGCTAGAGAGCGTGTGAGAGAGAACGAGAGAGAGCGTGTGAGAGAGAGAACGAGAGAGAGAGAGAGCGAAGAGAGAGAGAGAGAGAGAGAAAAGAGGAGAGAGAGAGCGTATATTTTAGCGAATTCTACAACCAGCCCGAGGCGTACGCGATGGAGCGCTACGTGTACGTACAATGTCACAAGTGTTCAAAGGCGTATTTCGGAGGGGAAAGCCGATGCCAGCTGGTAAGCCTAAGCCGAAGCCTAAGCGGAAAGCCTAAGCCTGAAGCCTAAGCCTAAGCCTAAAGCCTAAGCCTATTTATTTATTTAATTAAACGATAAATTTTCCGTTTTCCAGCCGCTCGACTCGTCGCAGTACAACCCGGCCGAGCTGATCTGCGGCGGCTGTTCGGACGTCACTGGAGCCCAGG